TGTCATTGTTAAGCCTGCAAATGCTTTTGCTGTCTTTTACTCTTCATAATTTGTCTCTTGTGGCACTGACAGGCCACCTTATACAAGGAGGTTGCTCTCTGATTGTACCGGGCAAAATTCTTGGGCAAAGGGCAGCTGTTTGTGCCATTGTACCAGTTATTTGATATATACATATGTAACTACATTTGCGGGGCTGTCAAGGATTTTAGTTTCAGATTCACACCTTAACGAGAAGAAAGTGTGGAGACAGAAAGAGACATGGGGGTGGAAAACAGAAAGAAATGGCTGCCTCCATTTTAAGCTCCATGAGAAGCAAGCCGAATGTTTTTAAAATTGAGAAATTTTATTGCTTTTGAAGGCAATGGAACAAATTTCCAATGATAACAGCAACTTTTTTATGGGTTGAAATCTCTTTTTTTCTCCACCCCTCATCTCATTATATATACTCCCCTCTAAAACAGTGTCCTTCGACCTCAGCAACCTTTAGCTGTGTGGACTTCAGCTCCCAGATTTCTCCAACCAGCATGCTGGAGAAAAAGTTGACAAGGTTGAGAAACATTGCTCTAAAGCTGTATTCATCCAAAGACGAGCTCCTGGTCCCACTGACTCTATGAACCTGGAAGCAAAAGAGCAAAAGGATAGTGTGGTCTTTGGATAACCATTTTTGGTAAATCTCTCTTTGGACTGGGTCAACCCTGCTGACTCTGCTTCTGCTCTCTTTGTGAGGCAGGGGATAAATTCAGAACCAAGGGCAGACATTGTGTTCTATGCCGTTGTGCATTTAAGATGTATTTTGAATTTAAGATGTATTTCGAATGGAAGTGTCAGTCCCCAGATTTTTATTTGTTTGGAATATCATTGGTGAGGCTGCATTACTCAAGAAGGAAAATTTAATCCTTTACCACTCTGTAGCTGTCCTGATGAAAATCTGCTGCTTTAGGCTGCTATTTGCATTGGGAACAAATCCCCATTAGTGCTCTTTGTGATGTGTGACAAATTTCCATCACATCTGACAAGTGCATGTAGAATCAGGATATGACTCTTTGATGTTCAAAGCAGAACTCAGGTGACCTGGCCCCATGATTGAAAAGATTTTGCCGTAGCTATTCTGTTCTCAAAGAAGAGGCATTGAGACGAAGCACGGTCACACAGTCCTTCTTTATTGCAAACACCAACAGAACAGATTGCAAATGGTGCAGCCCCCTTTTATAGCCCTCCTGCACAGCACCCTGCTGGCCAATCATTGCAAGGGATCTTTTCCCACCTTGCGCATGTGCGCAAGGCTGAGAGCAGCCTTTCTTGTCCCGGGCATCCCCGTGGTCTGCCCGGGCCAATCGCTGCAGCCTGCACCTGCCAGCCCAGGACATAAAGTAGCATTCAGCCATTTTCTTTCTTTGTCATACCCCTTTCCCCATCCCCATCCCCATCTGAAATTACCATCTGTAACAAGCAGCCACTTCCTCTTGCTGCATAACAGCATCTGCCCTAAAATCATGCCTTTCTTTCAGGATAGAGCTGATACTGATTTCCACGGATGCTCACAAAAACAACATCTATGGATGATATCCAGCTAATGTCCATTGTATCTGTAATTCATGAAATCAACAAGGCTTGAATTCAAGGCTAAATTGTGCAACTGGTTTAATGGGGACATGCTGGAATTTAATCAATGACTGATAGCGACTGATCACTATTATGTCAGAATCAGTGGTAGCATAGTTTGGACTACAAATTGATAGATAATGAATTTAAGTACAGGGGGAGAACTGTGGGAAGTAGGATGCTGGACCAGGCAGATCTTATGTCTACTTTGCAGGCTATTATGAACGGATCGAGGGGACAATTGTGCATCAAACTTGATTTTGCAATTCTGCATCATAATAGAGAAGGAAAATATTGCTAAGCATATACAGGTAGTCCTCAACTTACAACAGTTCATTTAGTGACTGTTCAAAGTTACAACTGCATTGAAAAAAATGATTTATGACCATTTTTCACACTTATGACCACTGCAGAATCCCCATGGTCATGTGATCAAAATTTGGATGCTTGGCAACTAATTCATATTTATGATGGTTGCAATGTGCCAAGGTCATGTGAGCACCTTTTGTGACCTTCTGAGAAGCAAAATCAATGGGGGAAGCCAGATTCACTTCAGAACCATGTTACTAATTTAACTGCAGTAATTCACTTAATGATTGTGGCAAGAAAGGCCATGAAACGGGGCAAAAGTTACTTAACAAATTTCTCGCTTAGCAACAGAAATGTTGGGCTGAACTGTGGTCATACGTTGAGGACTACCTGTGCTACTGAAAAGGAGTCAGAGCACGTCTGGCTGCACTTGATCCACCCCGTTCTGTGTTCAGGTCTAAGACAACTTGCCACGGCCAACTTGCCACGGGACAATCCAGACATAGCAGTTACAGGAATAGCAAAGAAATGGTGGAACTGAATCACTAAAGAAAGGCTGCAAAAGGAGGGACAAAATGAAATGTGAATGACAAAAATTAAAATAATTTAAAAATTATTTTAAATAATTAAATTGAATTGTTGAATTGTTCCACAGAGAGTTGTCCCATGGAGAGTTGGTCCATGGCGAGTTGTCCCATTTCATGTTCAAAGAGCAGAGACAGGATCTGGAGACAGGGTCCATTTTAGAAATTCCATTGAGCTGTGTGCTGTTATTGCATTCAGCCAGAGAGAGGGAGGGAGGGAGGGAGGGAAGGGAGGGAGGGAGAGAGAGAGGGGGAAGAGGAGAGAGAGAGAGAAGGGAGGGAGGGAGAGAGAGGGAAGAGGAGGGAGAGAGAGAGGGAAGAGGAGAGAGAGAGAGAAGGGAGGGAGGAAGAGAGAGAGGGAAGAGGAGAGAGACAGAGAGAAGGGAGGGAGGGAGGGAGGGAGAGATAGAGAGAGAGAGAGAGATAGAGAGAGAGAGAAGATACACCTAGCCCACTGGTCCATCATACATACACACACATACACACATCACACACACACACACTCATTGTTTTATATTATACATAAAACACTCAAGCACAAAAATTAATATTAAAAGGCTGGGAGAGAGCATCAGATAATATGAACAATGGAGCCACCTCATTCCCTTGCAATCCCCAAACCTGTTGACATAACAAGGTTTTGAAGGACTTCTGGGAGGTTGTCAGAGATGAAGCCAACCTCATCTTCAGGGAATGACATCCCACAGGACAGGTGCCATAGCAGAAAAGGCCTGACTCCAGAGTCCCACCAGATGTGACTCCTTGGCAGACAGGACCCACATCATACCTGTTCTGCCAGATTTGATGACATGGGCAGATGTAACTGAGAAGAGGCAGTCCATCTAATACTGACATTATGGTGAAGGTGGGGACCAAATTGATTAAATCCATGGCTTCTTATGTACTTTCTCCCCTTCAAGGTCAGAAATTTTTTCCATCTTGGAAAAGACAGTCCCTCTTGTGAAAAAGCAGGGGCAGGGATCCTATTTCTGGCTTTGAACTAATGAATTCTGTGGCCCTTGTCACAGTAGTGCCATTGTGAAGAAAAAAAGAGAGTCTCTCTTGGAACTGACGTGATATAAAAATATACAGAGAGAGGTGCAGAATTAGCCCATTCTTGCTATGTTGTACCTGGCACAAAATGCAGGCATGGAGATTTCTCACTGTGGTCACAGGATAGAGCATTTAATAACTATGTACCTTTGCCTGTGCATGTGTAGATCTGTAAAATTGATGTGATTGCATGGCTTCAAGTTCAGGAAAGGTACAATTTGTGTAGCGTTTTTGTGAAAGAAAAACAAGCATGATAAGGAAAAGCTGAATCACTTGCCAAACACATGACAAAAAAGAACATCAAAAAGGTGTCAGAGAACAGACCAGATTGCTAGATTTTTGTCTGTTGACCCCATGCTGACAGCAGCTCTTTTCAGTCTTCTTATCATTCTGTAAATTGAAGATACCAGGATATGATGCAAGCAAAAGAACTTTTTTTATATGCAACCACAGTCCAGTCAGTGAGTCACTACCCTGAACCTGTAAATGGTATTCTGCTCTGAAATAACCACAGGGCTTATAATAGTCAGTTTACATCTTCAGTGGTTATCTATCTCTTAGTGAGAAAGGAGCTGTTGTGGGAAGTCCTAGTACATATTGTCCCATGGTTTTACAAAATATTTTTAAATAAATTAGTCTCAATCCTTCATTTGCAGTGTAAAAAAGATAAAGAAGATATTCTAAACAATCCAAAGCACTATGTAGCAGCTTTATAACTTTTACAGGAATGTGCAGTTGTGTACACAAATGTTACATATCAACTTTTCGTATTCCGTATATATGCATAGCTTCTGTATGAACAAGTGTCTAATTTCCATCTTGTGGGGATCTTGATTACAGAGCATCTTTTCAGATTGTAACAGAAGAGGGAAACAGATTGTTGTGAATGGCTTTGAGTAAGAAAATAAAGTGCAAGTGTTGTTGAGTTAAAGGTATACAGTTAAAAGAGAAAGTATTATTAGGCAATATGCATGACTTCATGTTAAGTAGCCTTGCAGTTCAAGTATCCATATTTATGTGTTCATAAAACTATTTTCTCTTTATTCTAATATCTTTTAATATGCCCCATATAATTCAGCATTCTGTTTTTTATTACTTTCCAATACTTTTTATGTGCGTGTTATTATTTTAATCATGCAGTTTAAATCCATTTGCCTGTCTGTACAAAGTTTTGTTCCTGGTGCGTAGGGAATTCCTGGCTCATTTGTAAAACTAACAAACAAGTGGATACCCATCCATCCATGCCATCTTTATGTCTAATTATAGTGTAGACCATTTCTGCTGAGATTAGAGATTGGAAAATGGGATCTGATGCTCAGCTAAATGAGAATACCATTTCCTAAGTTGTTTCCTTTTCATCCAACTCCACATCCTTTCTGTGTTGGTTTTGAAAGAGTGTTTCTCTAAAATAGTCTTATACCATACTAATTGCTGTTCCTTTTTCTCTTGTAGCCTGCCTACTTCAAGCTGAGCTGGTGAACTATGAGCGGGTCAAAGAATATTGCCTGAAAGTACTGAAGAAAGAAGGGGAGAACTTCAAGGCACTCTACCGGTCAGGAGTAGCATTCTATCACCTTGGAGACTACAACAAGGCCCTTTACTACTTGAAAGAAGCAAGGTCTCGGCAGCCAACAGGTACTACTAAGAGATCATCCACTGTTGCTCTCTTCTCATCAGCATTGTTTGCCTCTCCTTTCTAAAAATGTATTTTGCTCAGAACAAACTCCCTTGTCTTCACTCTAGTCATTTTTTTCTGCTCCTCTTCTCACACTTGTCATCCACAGAGTACAATTGCTCAGAACTGCAATCTTGGATTTCCTTGCACCATATTTATGATTACTGCTGATAGAGGCAGGGAAACATGCAGGCATGTGATGATCTCAGCACAGAAAAATTAGGGGGCACTATTCTTTTGAGCCACAATTCTTAGGTCCCATCATGGACCTTGAAGTACTCATCAGACTCATCAGTCTGTGTCCCATATTCTAATTCCAAATGGTTTTCTGCTAGTTATCAGTTCAGATCTATGCAAAAAGTTATCCTTCTCCTAGCAAAACATTGGGTGTTCAAGAAGAAGGAAGGAGAAACAATAAGACTATTATTAGTAAAAGAGAGTGTAAAGGCAGATGGAAGGGGAGAAAGAGAGAAAAATTGACCTCAGTGCCATCATAATGTGGCCTCTGTCAGAGTATCATTGGGAAATATAGTTCAGAACAGAGAAAAGGTCTTCTACCCATTATTTAGAGCCCTTTTGGTCTGGTTACTTGAGAACTGTAACACTGAAAATGGTGCATAGAAATATGTGCACGTTTATATGCATATATGTATGTTCACAATTTGAAAAATGGCCCAGCCATTAAATATCCGTCAAAGTGAAGTTATTCATTACTTTCAGAAGAATTAACTTTAGGTAATCCTCTGGAGAAAAAGGGATTACAAAGCTTGGGAAGTAGGTGCCAAGATTGCTCTTCTTGTTGTCCTTATTACTGAAGTGTGAAGGCCCTTCTCTGAAGTCAGTCTGAACTGATCACTTAAATCCTAGTGGGTTGTTGTGGGTAAGGTTTTTTTTTTTTTTTGCATTCAAAAACAAAACGTGTCTAATGTCTGTTTTGAAAGAGCGACGTGGAGCACTGGTGATCAAGCTGTCATTCTTTTTCCTATTCCCCTCACTTTGATCAATGCACTGTTGTGTCTACTGTGGGGGAGCGTTGGAAATATATTCATTTGTCAAACGGAGTCAAGGGCATGACACAGAGAAATACAAGAGTCTAGCTCTTAAGTTCCAGAAGTAGGTGAATAAAGATGGATCTGAATAGATTTTTATATTTTCTCTCATTCCAGCATCTGGTATTAAAGATTGTGCAGGATAACTTTGCTGCATTATCTAAAGACATATTGGTAGTGATGTACATTTGGAGGATGCCAATCATTTCTTGGGAAGAAGATCTGAATGTCAGATTCAACTCAGATTTCTCCCATTTTTAGCAGGTTCTCATGGCTGTCAAAATGGCATCAACAAAGAATTAGCTAATGAGCTGGGAACTATTTGCTCAGAAGACTCCATGGCTTGGAACTAATATAAATCTACAGTCAAGGTCTTCTCTGGCAAAAGAGGTGTACAAACAAACCACTCTGTCACTCATAGGGCAAGCTGGACATTTGCCTGCCCTTGTCCTCTTCATATCCCACAAGACATTCTGCTTCCATCTGTCATGCTTGGCCTGATGCTGCTTGAAGCACTTTTCATTCGTCTCAGGCAGCTGCATAGCCTGCATTTTCTGCTATTATGTTTATATACTCTTTCAGTCAGCCTGGTTAGATTAGAGGTTGTTATACCTACTCTGCATCTTACTTAACTACAGGGAATATCTGACTTCTTCTAAATGAAAATTAATTAGAGGGGAGTATTAAATTATTTTCATTTGCCTCCCCCTTCCTGAGCACTAAGGAAACTTCAGGTACTCACTAGTATTATCAGCCATTGCATATTTGGCCACCATTTTTACATTTACACATTTCATGCTCGATTTCATCTGGAGAATACATTTCTTAAAATGGTAGAGGAGAGGGAGATATCTGATCTAAAACTGCTACACAAGAAGTTGGGAGAGGAGACCATTTTACTTCTCTTGACCCCTTACTGCTTTAGGTACATATCAGAAGTTGAAGTGATTGCTAAATATTTTCAGGAAAAAAGTAGTTTTAATGATTGGATTTGATATTCCATCTATGCATATAAGTTATTGACTGTTGTGCCTATTCCATTATCTACTACCACATGCTCAGCTGAAGGAACAGACCAGCAGCAGTGGGACACAAACTGATCAGATGGCAGCTGGGGCTGTTGCTATATTTTTAGTTTGTTATGCAATATAACTCAGGCTACCTCTGGTAAACTTACCAGAATAAGAGCAAAGAGAAAATGGCTGCATTTAGTTCTACTCCTTGACCAGAATGGGGATCGTGATGCAAAAGGCAAGCCTTACAGTGATGGCACAATACAATGGGATTTTCACTCAAAGACTCCATAAGACTCAAGTTTGATAAAATGCACTTAGTGGATTGTCTGGAGTCAGAGGATTAGATCCAAAGGTTCTTAAAGGTAATTAAAGTTTGAGACTCCTCAAATAAAACTCACACCAAATCCATTCATTCTCACAGAAATGCAAAGAGCTCAATTGAATTCAAAACCAATCTTTGCGAGAGTTTGCTGCTCTGGTAGCTGTCCCTGCTGTCCCTGACTCAGCTATAACTTTTTGGAATTCAATTCCTGAGGGGTGGGGTAGGTGGGTGGGTGGGATATAGCTTGTCAGAGCGTCAGCCCTTTGAAGTTGACCAGATCGGGAAATAGACTCCAAAGATGATTAGCACTATATTTTATTTAAATAGGATAACAAGATAATGTGGCCTGATGTGTTTTCCCTTCCCTCCCTCTTATACCCCAGGAAGTCAGGGAGGAGATTATCTGAGTCTCTTGTTAATGTTTCCCTGTTTCCTAGGCTTAGTGCATATTTTTGCATAGGTTTTTGTTGTAATATCTCTAAATAGTTTCTCCAAGGTTATCTCCAAGAAATCCTACAGCAAGACAACTGCCAAACTCTATTGATCTTTCCTCTGTCTTGCTCTCACCTAAGTGAATTGTTGAACTCCATTTTTGACAAGCTGATCTGTGATATGTAACTTATCTATTAGTGTAGCTGCTGCTTCCAAAGTGGTATTTATGAATTTGGTTTGCTTGCTTTTTTTAACCAATTTCTCTGTTTTGAGAACAGAGTGGTATAATTAAGTAAAATTATATTTGGAAGTTGATATAAAACTGAATCTCAAAATATTACATATTACCTTACTGCCATCCTCCTTTGTCTACACCCATGCTTATGAAATAATGGAATGGGGGGGGGAGACCACATACTCTCTCTGTCCAGGCAAGTTCAGCCTTGCTATTACAAAATGCCAATCATTTTTTCCCCCTTAAGCAAAGGAAACAAGAATTGGTTTGACCCTCATCCTTAGGTTTGTTAGGGTGGTTCTTCTTTTTCATGAATGATATACATTGAATTTTCCAGTGGACAAGTAGATAAATGTCGGTTCCACAGAGTTTACAAGATAATACTGAGAAAATAGCACAGAAAAGGAAATCTATGAAAATATCATTAGGGAATTACCACAAGTGGCTTCACCTGAAGATGCTGAGGCTTGCTTACATGCAGCTCCCTCAAGCCATGAGAAGTAAATGTGCTGAAAGCTTCACAAAAACAAGGCTTGAGGAAAGATTTAAAGGCAGAAGGGAAATGGTATCATGGAATCCTGCAAGGCAATTCAAAGCATTTAGGGGAAGGATGAGAAAAGATGTAGTATTATGAAAATTAAGCAATATATGGTGCATTTTTAATTTCCCAAATACTATCTTATTCTTTATTGGCATCTTCTTTTAAGAAAAATGCAAAAGACTTTCATGAAAATATTTAGGTAGGCTTCTTGATAAGCACAGCCAGAATGTCAGACAGGAGGTTGGTTGGTGTTCCTTATCTTCACTGATGCATGAAATGATTGAAGAAGTCCAAATTTTTGTCTGCTCTCCCCAAAGTTTTGAGATGCAATGATTTAGAGAAAGTAGACTGGAAATTGCTGTTGGAGATGTTGCCATTGATTTTGGACTGTTGAATTATTGGAAGCAACATGAAGATTACTGAGAAACATGTCTATCATGCAAAGAGACCACTATGTTCCCCTCACAAGAAATTGCTTGATCCTAAGGAGCTTGATAGTCTATGCTGATTGGCAGAAGTCTTTCATGGTTTTAGATAAGAGTTTTGAGAAGGCAGAATTCATCTGCATATAGAGCACACTGCCTGATATTGCCCATTTTAAAACAGGGTACCATATCACAAGGGTCCTCAACCTTGGCAACTTTAAGACTTGTTGACTTCAACTCCCAGAATTCCTCAGCTAGCTTTGCCAAGGTTGAGGACTCCTGCTATATCATATGGAGAATCTCCTCATTCCTGCCAGTTTAGACTGAGGAAGTATAATACTGATGTGAAAGGAATCCATATGATAGTACATGGCCATTTATTTCCATCCATGTGAGCAGCATCTCTTAGAAATATTTCTTGGACACTTGCATTCTCACAAATGAGAGGAGTCTGCACTGAAGAAGAAGAAAAATCTCAGCAGTCTCTTTCCACTTAAGTGCTATTTTTCTCTTGGTGGCTATGGTTTTGTTTTAATCTAGATTAAAACAATGTAGATTAAGTGTCCAGAAGCTACCTTGGCCAGAGTTTGGTGCCCATGAACACTAACGTGCCCACTTGCCTGCCTCACATGACTGTTTAAAAAGTATTTTTAATTAAAAAGTAAACAGGAAGTAGCTTTACAAAGCAGTTCAGCCTGGGTTCCAGAAAGGTTCAGGTGGTGGAGTGACAAGAGAGCTGGATGACTGTGGATGACTATTCTATTACATAGCACTTCTGTGGCTGACCATGCTTCCTATGGCAACTATGTCCCGGTTGACAGGGGTCTTCAAACTTGGCCCTTTTATGACTTGTGGACTTCAACTCCCAGAATTCCTCAGCCAGGCCAAGGACCAAGTTTGAAGACCCCTGGTCTATGACAACAATTCTATGATGGCAGCCATGACATGCTCTCAAATTGTCCAGTGAGACTTTTGACTAACAGATGACCTATCCCTGATCTGTATAATCAGATGTGACAGAACAGCAGACAGATCTGATTGTGAGATCAAGGAGAAACAACATCTAGGGAAATATTTGCCCCAGCACCCGCCCCACCCAAAAGTTTGAAAAAAAGGGAGGATTTTCTATTGATAATACATTTCACAGTATGTGGCCACAATGAGGACTGCAATAGAATGGTTATAACCCACCTGTCAATAAATAAAATATTTGCAATAAAAAGACATGTAATTCCCTCCCTCCCTCCCTCCCTCCCTCCCTCCCTCCCTCCCTCTGGATAGCAGTACAGCTTGAAATTGCCCTGGTTGCTGCCATTAATTAGATTCACTGTTGCCATGCAACATATCTACATTATATTTTTTGGCTTTTCAGTGCACATCTCTGGATCAGCAAAGACTCTTGAGCTGTCATACATCCACAAAGACATTTTATAGGTTTTTTTAAACAAATGAAACTATCACACAATATGCTAAAGAATGGGAAAGAAATAAAAGCCATCATTTGTTTAAAAATGCTTAGATTTAATAAACCAGATGAATAGATTCAGACATCAATTATTGAACAGTATAGCTTAGAGCATTATCTCAATCCAACCAGTGTCAAAATTCTTGTATTCATAATCATGCTAAGCTGCAAACATTTTAACTATAACTGGATAAATTAACTCCAATGGCTGGCAACATCAGAGTAAGCTAAACTCAAACTATGGATGACATAACGCATTGACTGGGTGGTATTTCTCCCAGTTGGAGGTTTAAGAAAATCATGTTAATGTGTAAAATGAAAAAAGAAAAAGAACACTTGCCTTGTGACATTTCTGTTAATGCAATTGTCTAGAAGAAAGGGCTTGGGTAAAGGTTGCAGAAATGATTCCATGAAGAATACCTTACCTAGGATTTCAATAACCAAGCCCAAAAATTTTGCTATGAAATGTTATATCCTTGATTAAATCTTATTTTATCTCCAGATTTTGAAAAGAAAATACATTTGAGAAATTATTCACATGCATGAACATCCATAGGTCACTGGGTCCATTTCTTTTGTGCTGACAAAAAAAAAAAAGCACGCTATCTACTTGCCATTTTATATGTGCACCTTTTGCTCCCCTGCCCATCCCCCTATCACACACCTCCAACATTTTAGAAATTTATCTGGTTGTTTCTGTGAGTTTCAGGATGTGTGATTTTTAAGCCTATCTAGGTAATCACGGCTGTATATTCACTGGGCATATATTCAAGATTTCAAATCTGTGCCAAGAAGGGGGAGGGGGAGATTCAAGTGACAGAGAATATATTATACACAAGGTTTGAACACTGTCTTAATAGCAAAGATGGCATTTATAGCTACTATATATTTTTAAGGTTCTTTGGAATTTTATAACTGGTATGATGCACAATATATAAAGTAGCTGCATTTAAAAGTTTCGGTTTCAATTTCTTAAAACAAGCAGTACAAGTGTTATGAAGGGAGCTGATAAAGCTGAGGGAAATAGGCAACTTCCTAGCTGCTCTCCAAATTATAAATATTTCATTATTTATTGAATATATGTTTTGATTTTCCTGATCAGTCCAAGGATGACTTACGACATCATATAAAAATAGCAGACAACATAACAGGAAAGTATATCTACATCAAAAGAGAAATAGGATTCCTTTAAAAAAAGGGATATTTGTACTTCACATGTCTTTTTTCTCAGGTAAAGGATGAGCAGCCTATAGAGCTCCTGATTTTACTCAGCTACAACTTCCACCATTCTTCCTTGCTATTCATGCTGATGGGAACTGTTGGGAATGGTAACTGAAAAATATTTTGAGGCTGAGAGATTCCCTTCCAGATATTTTATGGAATTTCCAATTGCACATCTTTGATGACATAATTGTGAACTGTTTTATGGATGCTCTTTACATACTATTGAAAACTGAGTTAATCTTTGTCGTTCCATTTTTTCTTGTGATTTTTTTTTCTAAAAGTTGGCTACCAGAGCTTGGGTGTCAAATTTCATTATTTCTGAGTCTATGTATTTACTCATGCCTGAATGCAGTAATCAAGACCAGTTTTGTCTTTTTGCTGCATATATATTCAAGGAGATTGACACTACAATGTTATGGTAGGAATTGAATGTCTGCATAATTTTCATATTTACTCTACCAATGTAGACCAAGGGCAGGTGATATCAAGAATTGGACTATCAGCAAAGATCTGGTGCCCCACAATCCAAGAGTCCCATATATAGTTGCCAAAGTCCATTCATTTCCCTTTTCTAGAGGAAGTTAGGGGCACCACAGAGGAAATTTTTCTTCACTATTGCTCCACGGAAATGTATGTTTTGCAGGCAGAATGTTTTAATTTCATTCTTCATTATTTCCAAGAGAGGTGGGGAAAGCCTCTGTCTGAAATCCTGGAGAGCCACTCCTAGTATAGACAATGCCAGGCTAGCTGTCTATGTCTGAGGAAGTTATACTTGATTGTTGATCTCTCCCTTATTTTATTAGCAGTTGGAATACTATCTACAAATGTGGTTGTCCCAAAGATGCTTTTTCAAGAGGCAACTGGACTTTCTTCTTTTTCTTTGAAGATGTATCACTCTTATCCAAGAAGCGTCTTCAGCTCTGAAGCTTCTTGGATGAGAAGTGAAACATTTTCAAAGAAAAACAAGAAAGTCCAGTTGCCTCCTGAAAAAGCATCTTTGGAACAACTATGACCTGGAATCATCATAGACATTTACAAATGTGGTTGTTGCAGATTTCAACAAGAAAGTTATGCTAAGTAGATGTATTTTAATTATTTTTCCCTGCAGATACTAATGTTGTACGGTACATCCAGCTGACAGAAATGAAGCTTAGCAGATGTTCCCAGAGGGAAAAAGAAACATTGTAAGAAGAAACCCAGTTCTGTGGGCCTGAATGGACACGTCCTCCCATAAATGATCACCGGGTGAATTGTCCTCCCTATTGGCTTCACATTAGATTGACAGGTTTTCTCTCCTTTCCTGATGTTACTTTTGATCTAAGAAGAGACCCTGGATCTAGCTTTGGCTATTTGCTGGCTTAGTGATAACATTCTAGTCCTCCTAGCGCAATTGCTCTGGGAATTTGGATGAAGAGAGCAATAGAGAAGGATTCACTTTGCCTTGTGCTTATATTGTTATTTTTGTCATAGCAGCCTTCCAGAGATCCTCTTTTCTCTTCAAATATGAAGCCAATAGCTAATGAAAAAAATATATATAATGAGACCCCCCTTGTGGTACATTTTAAGTAGTACAGAACGTTCAACAAAGTTGAGAGTTTGGGCATGGGATAGTATCTAAATGAGAATGTGAAAGATGCTGTTCTATATGGGGATGAAAACTGGAACAATTGCTTAATATCAAATATATGTTGTTAACAGGCAACAACTCCACATATTATTTCTTAGAAGGCATGGCTGGATTCTAATACATAAAGGGGAAGCATGATTTTATAGTTTTCAGATTATAGAAATTGAAGCACTGAATTATAGGCTTGCCACCATCTTAATATACACCTTAACTTTTCTGTGCCTCAGTTTTTCCATCTGTATAGAGGGAACAAAAAGTCTCCCTACCTCACAGGGGGTGTTGTGAGAATTTGTTAACTAATATTTGTACAGTGGTAAATAATATTACTGGTGCACTGGACTAAGCTTGCAATTCTTACATGTTGTCTTGATACTTTCCTGCCTGTTTTCATTTGTTATTAACTCAAGGTTGCACAGAGATCAGGCTATAATCTCCCAAATCAAGACATTCATCTGTTTATCCACTACAGGTAAAACAGGCAGCAATGTCCAAACATCCTTCAAATGCTAATGAGAATTTTAGTGCATGATTTATTGAAATGCCAGAAACCCAGTTTTAGCTTCTAAAACACCTCTTAAACCCAGAATACCTGACTTCACAAACGTGTTACTGAATGACAGGTTCTTTCAATCCAATACAATAAAATTAAGGTGGAGGGTGAGGAGTGCTGTATTATTCCCCAGAGATTATTCTTCAACTTATTGCAATTGCATGACTTAGATATTTAAATCACATTAAGAAATTTATTATCATTTCAAAGAGATTCCCAATGAGTTAATGAATGAGTGCAACTGAAGAAAAAATCAAAATAATTTTCTTCCAATGGTCATAGGAGAAATTCCAATGTTTCATTTTGTAGGTCATGCTTTTCTAATCTCCTCTTTGAGTGACTTCTTTTTTGGAGGCTCTTATTCCATATTAGCAATGTTATGTCAGGCAGGTCTTGATCATTCTCCTGCTTTAGGAAATTCATTTGTGATAAGTGAAAGATTTTATCTTTATTAGAATGAAATCGCAAGAATTTATATTAATTTCCAGATTCAGTGAGTCATTAGGCACTTGGCTTCATTTTCTTTGTGAATTTATGTGATTTCTGGAAAAGCAAATCCGGGTGTTTTTTTTTTTAGGGGAAGTCTTATCAAAACTATGGAAAATAGCTTATTCTATCTGCATATTAAAGGATGTAGGCTTATAACTATCAAATTTCTCCTGACCTGGAGGTAGCCCATGATTTTCTCATATATGTTGTCTTTCAGACTAATATAAATTTACAATTTTTTTATCTTATAAAAGCAAATATTGTAAAATATCAGTGTTCAAGTAAACTCTCAAACTGGGACTTTCTTAATTGCTGGCTAGCTCCCAAGAACGATGCAAATGGTTCAGGATGAGAAGGCACCAAAATGCAGCAACTGACATGCTAAAATGATCTAGCCAAAGTTTTAATATGTTACTGAATCACCTGAATCAGAGCCCTTAATGGCCTTATCTAACCCCACCACTGTACGCCTCCCCCCCCCCCCAATACAAGGGTCCAGGAAAAGAGTCATAGTTTTGAGTATTGTATAGTAAAAATACCCAAAGCTGTTGCTCATCCTCTACTGCCCTGGCATTTGAAACAGTCAATGACTATTTAAAAGTGTGAGCAAGGCCGAAGACATTTGGAGACAGAGAGATGAAAACTTGCCATTGCTATGAAATTTTAATCAGATGAAATGGCTTGGAAAATTGTAGTTTGCATATATAAAAAGCTTTGCTTCTCCTTCTCTAAAGCAATGTAGAATTTGGAACTTGTTCATATTGTCAAATGGAATTACGCACTGCAAAAAATGCTAAGTGACTACTTTAAAACTTACCTTCTTTCACCTGTTCAGAAGAATATCCAAGTGAAAAGGCCTTTTGATTTCAAAAGAACAAAAGAGAACCGGAGGGAGCTTTGTTGCTTGAAATGCCGACAATTATTATGGGACATGGTGCTTTTTTCTATTAATATTTACCGTAGGTGGAAATGCCAGAACACCTGGAGATATAATAATATCACTCACTTCAATTTTGCTATTAGACGCAGATACATTTCTGTAAGAGATCTCCATTAGATGGATATATGGGGGTTGCTGCCTAGTTGCACACATCATCTTCTTTCCCACTTCCCCACTTTTAAAGTACTCACAAAAACATTATTTCAGTGAGAAATCTGAAAAATTAGTTTGACAAGAAAATCAGAGAAATATATTGGTGATTGCACAACAAGTTTGGTTCTTAGCCAACTGAACAACAGGCCCCAAACAATAATGAATACTGTCCATCCTAAGTATATGAATGAATAGAGGTCAAGGAAGCATTCTTCAAATCAAAACTTCAGTGGAAGATAATGGAAAACGAGTCAATCCAGCACTGAAAAGAAACTACCACAACAAAAACAATATAGGTAGAGATATGAATTATTACTGAAGCTTCTGAAAAATGAAGGTAACTGTTGTTATATACAGGTAGTCCTTGATTTACAAGGACAACTGAGCCCAGAATTTATGTTGCTAACCGAGAAATTTGTTAAGTGAGTTTTGACCCCTTTTGCGACTTTTCTTGCCACATTTATTAAATGAAACCCTGCAGTTGTTAGATTAGTAACATGGTTGTTATGTGAATCTGGTTTCCTCCTTGACTTTGCTTGTCAGAAGGTCGCTAAAGATGAGGACATGATCCAGGGACACTGCAACCGTCATAAATATGAACCAGTTGTCAAGCATCCGAATGTAAATCACGTGACCTTGGGGATGCTGCAACGGTCATAAGTCAGTGTTGTTATAACTTTGAACAGTCACTAAATGAACTGTTGTAAGTCGAGGACTACCTGTACTCTATGTGGGAATGTTCCTTTCAGAGTCTTTAAATAGTGATTCCATGCTGCAGAATATATATTTCTCCTCTAGCTGAAATTTCTCTGCAATTCCTCTAGGATTCATCATCAGCTAGGTGGTAAATAAAGTAGGGAATGGGATAAGGATAGGAAATTGGGTACCTACTGATGCCATAACATTGCCGTTTAGTCATAAGGTAGAATATGGGAGACAACAGACATTCAGATTACTGCAAAGTCTGAAAACCTGAAAAGCCTGCATTATTTGGTGATAATTGGTTGACTATAGGAATATTGTCCAAAAATAGATTTTAGAGTAATTTATTAATCTATTTTTTTACTTTTTCAAGATGTTTCTTTTTCTGCCAAAGCTTTCAATAAAGAGAGAAGTAAGTCATTACAGTATTTTGAGTTCCCATGATTCAATCTAATTTTGCTTTGTGCAATGAATCCATACACTTTCTGCTATTGCTGACATTAAGTATGCCATTTATATCCACTACAATGCATTACAACTTCTATGTAACTTTTAATGTTTTACTTTTATTCTAACTAATCCATATGGACACAAGACCTTTATTCTGAATTTTGCTTAGCAAAGGCAACTAAAGTTCTGAAGCTGGTTTAGATAGTAAACTCAGGCTAAACTCCCTTGGTTAAACTCCCTTAACTAAAAATGGTAAATGATTTGTCAGCCATTCTTTTTCCTCTTCTGTTTCCATCCAGCTTCTACATTTTCTACATTTTCAGACAATGTGAAATAAGCTGAAGAGAGTCAGATTACTGGGCAAATTGCAGAAGTCAGCTTGTTCAGAGAATGTTGCAGAAATAATATATAACTGTATTCCTGATTTTTGCAGTATAGCTTGCCAGGCAATCTTATAAAAATATTCTCCATGCTATCACATAGAACCCAGAGATAGTTTTGATGAGAGATGCTTTGTAAATAGATTTAGATTCATGAGAAAGAACCTTTATTATGTTTTGCAAAATAACACCTGCTAGGAGAGAAAAAAAATACACTAATCCTATCAAAGATTATTTTGAGATTAAAAAAGCAGTATTCATTTAAGGAGATTTGTCTGTCCCAGGAGAAATGTGCAATTATGGACTTTACCTGCATCAATCCATCAGAATAACAGAGTTGGAAGGGACCTTGGGGGTCTTCTAGTCCAGGGCTTTTCAACCAGTGGTACAGGTACCACCTGTGGTACATTGGCACCTGGCAGGTGGTACGCGACCATCCTAGAAAGGTGGTAGCGGGGGAGGGGAATGAGCTGAACTGGTGGCAGCACTGCACAAACCTGAGCAAGAGAGGGCTGGAGCTGCAGGGCTGTCAGGGCTCAGTGGAAGTACCAGGATCAGCGCCACTTTCCAGCTGATCGGCACTTCTTTAGGATGGTCAGGGCTCAATGGAAGCGCCAGGATCAGCGCAACTGATTCATATTTATGATGGTCACAGTGTCCCAGGGTCATGTGAAGTGACCAAAACCTGCTGCAACCACTCAGCAGACGGGAATAAAAACCAAACACCCACCCCACCCCACCCCCACTGCCAATCCTCAACAGAAATGCTCACAACAATGAAAACCTGGGACAGGAGGAAGAGCGCTGCTGGGTGGGCAGGCAGGTGTCTTGCTCGGCTATGGCTTGGGGGGCACTTTTTTCAGTGCCATTGTAACTTTGAACAGTCACTAAGTGAACTGTTGTAAGTCGAGGACTACCTGTACTTTATCACTTTTTTTTCATATATATTTTTTTGGGGTCATCAAGTTTTTGACACCTTGCTAGGCAACTGGTGGTACTTGGATGTTGCCATATCCTAAAAGTGGTACAATGGGTGAAAAGGTTGAAAAGCCCTGTGTTAGTCCAACCCCCTGCTCAAACAGAAACCCTATACCTTTTTAGACAAATTGTTGTCCAATCTCTTCTTCAAAACCTCCAATGTTGGAGCATCTACAGCATCCACAACCCACAAGAATATAGTGGATACAGATGTACTTCCTAGAAATGTATTTGTTTGCCTGGAAAAAATCCTTACAAAATTATTTTTCCTATAAAATAATTAGAAGTTATAATATTTAACCATAACTTGAATGGAATAGAACATTTTCTGATCTTTTACTATACATAGTAGCTTTATTATTCAATCATGCTTATTTGCAAATATGCCCCATTATCACATAACACATCTACTGTAAATGTTGTATGTAGAAATGTTGGAACAATATTAAGATTAGACGAGATAACCAGCTAAGTCATCATTTCAGAGAAATTTCCTTACCATATTCCTCCAAATAATTCCTGTCAGCATCTCACAGTACTGAATAGAACTGGGAGAGTTATTTTTTTTTATTTCTCAGAATCTTCCAATTAAAACACTGAATTTTAATATTATACATGAGAAAAACAGTGGCAAAGCTTGTAATGGAGTCCCTTCACTTGCAAAGTCCTTATAAGATATAGAGATGTATTTGCCTTGAAAATAACCAATGTTGAATTGTATGGTACAGTCAAATATCCGAAGATGACCGCAGGAAATATTTTATAAGATGTTATATTACAACATAAAATGCCATAAAAACAGTGGTCCTTTTTAGTATGAATTTCAACTAGTAGTATATTCAAGTTCTTTCCCAGTTTTCTGTGATTGGATTTAGGTTTTTCTTAATGTGTTCTAATTATTTTTTTCTACTACCACAGATCTGGAGAAATGCCTGAATCTAACATCTAGATTGGGGGGGGGAGGTATTTGTCAGTGCCATCATACACATGTCGTGACTTATGTACTTGCAAGCAGAGATTAAGATGTAAGTATAACCTTAGCAGCATGATGGCTTCATTGTAATTTGCTTAGAATAACTAATGTTTGTTTGTAGGTGGTACACTTTTGGACTCATGTACATAAAATACAAGTTTGTTATTGTTGTACAACTGATAATACTCTTCATAGGATCCTTACTCAAAACAAGATTGTTGCTGGACTACACTTTTTTACTCTTTCATTCATAATTAAGTACTATGAAGACTACTGTATAAGATTTATTTTCAGTATAGAACTTTGTACCCTTGCTGTTTTGGTAATTTCAGTTGCTAGCTCTTACAACTATAAAGAATACTGCAGTTTTGAGTGTGAACACCACTAGGTGAATGTCAATAGAACGAATGACCATTTCATCAAAATTTTACACTGTACTAACTGTTCCTTGATAGTGCTTTCTTGGCAGGGATATCACAGTTCTAACTTTCCGGTGGAAAGTTCATTCAACAAGCTTCTAAATCTAGTTCCTGTTTTGTTTTGGGGGTAGGGTTTTTTTGGGGGGGGGCTTTAAAAACAGAATGGTAACTTTAAAATTTGTTTTATTCATGCTGTTTAATTGCACTGATTTCTTTTTCTATTGTAAGACACTCCAGATGCTCTGCTGCATTCGGCATTTCTTGACAAGTCAGCTCTGGAGCTCTTACAGCTTCTGCTTGGAAAATAACCACTGCCCCTCCCTTCCCTTCTGCACAAGCACTTGCTTGACAAGGGGGATTTTAGCAGAGCAATATAGTTGTGCAAAATAGCCTGACCTCCACAATATAAACTCAGACCATATGTGTGCCAGCATGGTTTCTCTGTCGCCAACAGTGAAGTCTTGCTGGCTTTCAGTTCTAAGGTTCAACATCTTACAAGAACATGCCAGGAGGAGAGGAGAGGAGAGGAGGGGACAGAGAATGAAAAAGAGCAATGGCATCTCTCCTACCTATCCATATTGTCTTGCAGTTCTTCAAGCCTTCAGTCTAGAGATATATATAACTGAGCTGCCCTGTCAAATTATTTTGTCTTGTGTTTTATCAGGTAATGAAATAAGGCTAGTTCATTCCAGCCATATCTTTAGTGAGCAACTGACAGTCAGCCACATATGCATGTACTAAGCATACAGTCTCATCATTAGCTGTCAACCATTTAATCAAAGGTAGCAGTCTATGAAATTAGTATAATGGTATAGGTCCAGAACACTCCATTGCAGAAGAGGGGGGGTCACCCATTTTGCAACTGATCTTGAGAGAGAATATGAGAGGGAGGGAGGGGGAGAGAGAAGAGAGAGAATCCATAAATACCACACAATTTCCATCATACTTGTCAGGCAAGGAGCCAAGTAACAAATAAGAATGATGATTGACCCTATTTTCATTGCCACCAGCAGAGCTGCAGCAGCAACCAGAAAGGACATCTTCTGGTTTATCTGCTGAAGTAATAGGTTCAGTCAGTGCATCTGGATGGCTACCTGGTTCTAATGCTGGGTGACTTGCAATAGATTCGACTTTCATCGAGAAGCAAGGCCCTGGTCAATAACCAATGGAGTTGAAGAGGATCAGTTACCATGATCTGCATCTATGAATTTATTTTTCTTTCTGTAAAAGCAGCAGTAAGAGTTGATACTATCAGGCTTTATCCAGTCCATTACTCTAACCCAGGGGGTCTTCAAACTTGGCCCTTTTATGACTTGTGGACTTCAACTCCCAGAATTCCTCAGCCAGCGTGCCTGGCTGAGGAATTCTGGGAGCTGAAGTCCACAAGTCATAAAAGGGCCAAGTTTCAAGACCCTTGATCTAACCTGAATGCTGAGATTCAACATATAACTCTTTGCTAAGATAGTTTTATTACGAAGAGTAGAAACTATTTAATTAGAACAGAAAACCAGAAATCACCAATTTTAAACCTCAAGATCCATACCAATCCATGTCCCCAGGTTCAATTCTTCTCCCTTGTTCCTGACCATATACTCCAGGCGACTGAGTACTGTTAGTTTCTTAATAGGATGCGTGACAGTATTATTATGAAAATGAATGCAGCTGGTCTCAGGCTATTTGAATCTGACCTTGGTCCTTCAATCTAGCCCGTATAATAGCTATTTCTAAATATGTGCTCTGTGGAAGTTGCAGAGCTTTCAACAGAGCAAAACTTAAAAGAGAAGCTGTAGGAAGCAGCTAATAGGACTGACATTTTTCTTATTTGTAATGTTAAAAATTAGAACAAAGTTATAGGACTTCCTAGAAATTTCAAAAATCATAACAATGTTTCCTGGAAACTTGCAGAGAGAACATAAGGCCTGTTCTTAAATAAGTGACAAAAATTCCCCTGGGATAGAATTAGGGAAATAGGAAACTAAGGCTGCATTGATTACAATGGGGTGATAAACAAGCCTGGGAATGATACATGATGAAGAAAGAGGTTAATTCTGGTAATGAGAGAAAGGATGGAAGAAAGTTGCATAGGAGCATCTTCTTCCAAGAGAATATCAATATACATCCCAATGAGTTTCCATCTATTGGAGCGCTGGAGCAATAGCCTGACCATTATATATGAGTGGTAGAGACAAGTAATTTGAAGTCAGTCAACCCCAGCAGAAGAAAAGGTAGTGGAGAACCTCAGGATGTAGCATCCAACAGACTGAATTCTGCTCAGAGCATTTATTCACTCCTGAAAGGTTACCTGTTGTTGTTTTTTTAAAATGCTGTGCACAAGAGATAAAACAAAGCACAGGGTTATTTGTTTACATAGGTAAAATACTAGTACTATTCTATATCAGTTCCATAGGTACATAGTGCCATCAATATAACCAGGAAATCTGAGGAAAATGTACAATAGAGTGTTCACAGATTCATATGTAATGAGATCCCAAACCTGTCTGAGATATATAGTATACTGATCCAAGGAAGCACCAATATAAAGAGTCAGTCCTAAAGTATATTGTTGAGCAACTAAGGTCAGCATCATAAATCTCAAAATCTGCAGGGCACCTCTCATACTATTTGAAACATAGTAATAAGCTGTACATTTCCTTGAATTCAGCTGAGAAAAATTCTAGAAACTGAAGGAAGGAGATGTAACTGGAAATTTTTCAAATGATCTGAAAACTAAATTGCCTAGGAGAATAAAAGTGAATCCTATATATGCATGAGGAACAGATGTCAAGAAGCAATTGAATCAGTCATATGTTTATGGGAATATGCATAATTTCTGATGCCTCAGAAAAGACCCAGCAAGGGCCAAAACAGTAAGAAAGAATAGTGAACTCTCAGTGTTGTGGAAGCCCAGCTTAAAAGCTGGTATCACTACGGTTTAACCTTCATGAAGGCTAGGAAGCATCTGTGTTGGAGCCGAATCATGATACGAAAGGTCCTTTAAATGAATAAATGCAAACTAATCATCAATTAGAGTAAAGAAAGAACAAGCTACATGTGACCCTTCAAAATTCCATGCTGCACATGAAAATATTCAAATCTCTCAGGTCTGAAACAGAAGTCTTCCTTGTGGTTCACCTTTCCTTGTAGCTTGAATGGAAGCAATACTTTGACAAAGCTGAATGGACACTGATGGCAAAGCATTGTCCCCTCTTATAATGCAAACAACCCCCAAAACCAGGAATATAGATTAGTCCTAGATTAAGACAGGGTGAGAAATCTAGAAATGAGTGTATTGGATATTATATTAAGCAACCTCTTTGCAATCGTTTCCTGCTGTTGGTTTTTTTTTGGGGGGGGGGGAATTCCTGTCTGTGTAGTCTGATGTCCAGCTCTTGGTTTGAAGTGAAGAAGGTTAGATGAAAGTGATGGGTATGATGAACCTATGATTCATAGAGAAAGTTTAGGACAAATGTTATGACTTTCCCATATTATCAATTATCTTCATCCTGTGTTATCTATACTTTCTTATTTTGTTGTATAGAATATGCCTTGTATAATTTGATACTCATGAACTTTTTCTTCATTGGGAAAAAGGGAATCTTCTACTCTTTATCACATTTCCTGAGGCATGCCAGCTAAGTATGTTGGGGGGGGAGCAATACTCCACTGTGTAGGCTGGAACTTCAATCTGCTCTATGCTTTGCTGAGTTAATTGGTTAATTGGAAAGAGGAGAAACTGCCATAGAAAAATGTTGGCAATATCCCTTTTCTCTGAAGTCAGGTAAATAAAGAAAAATGTCATTCCTTCCATTTCAAAAGCTGGTATTTTACGATATATACCTGATGAATTATAATTTGAAATGATAAAACTTCAGAAGAGTATGATCTCACTCCCAAAACCTTCAATCCTCCCTCACTCTAGTAGAGATGTTTCTAGGAGGAAAGAGCAAAGAAAGCTGGGAGCCTATATCAACAGTATATATTTCCGGAAGGTTCATCCAAAATGTAAAGGTCATTCTGGCTAAAGCAAATGGGAACATATATCGGGGAGCAGGCATTATTTTAAATTGGGCAGGAGAAGGGAATGGTAAACCTATACTGTATTTCACCAAGAAAACCACATGGATATATAATTTAAAAGGACTGACAGCATAGTGTAATATGATAAGACCCTCAGGTTGGATGACATCAACTTGTTACCAATGGTGTACGTTAAGCAGCTAAATTAAAATTTTCTAGACATCTAAAAGATGCTGATGTTGTCATGCAGGAAAAGAAAATCAAATTGCAATGAGAGAATTGCAGTGGGGACATGGAATATAAGAAACCTGAACATGAGAAAATTGAAAACAGTGAAAGACAGAATGATTTAATCATGCAGTAACTTCTTAGGCACAACAAATGGACTGGAATTGGACATTTTAAATCAGATCATATGGTTCCTAACTCGGGACATGAAAAAAGATGTTGCTTTCATGATCAGGAAGGATACAGCAAAGACAGTGCTTTGCCATCAACAATCAAATATTAATTAGATATCCTTACAATTTTGCTTATCCAAGTTTATGCTCCAACTACTAATGCAAAAAAGAGGATGTTAACATGTTTTATTGTCAATGTCAGTCTGACAAAACATGCAGGCAGATGTGTTGCTTGTGATTTGAGTGCAATGCCAAAGTTGGACAGAATAAGGAGTCCATTGTTAAACTGTACACAATTCCAACTTGTAAATTATATGTATTTTATATGGTGACTCAGCCATACTGAAAGATGGTGTCACCTTAAGCCTATACAAACATCTGAATTTTAGGATGATTCAGAAGGAGAGGCCTCACTGTTGCTTGAAAATCTGAATGTGTTTCCCCCCCCCACAAATACCCTCACTTTAATTTCTTAAGAATTAGGAAAGAGCCATTCTAATTGTTGCCTTGGTTAACGGCTCTTCCTCCTGTCCTTCAAGGCTATTCCATAGTTAGGGCTGACCATAGAAGAGATCTTGAATTGTTCAAGTGCACGTTCCAAGCCAAGGTAAAGAGGAATCACAATGCCAACTTATTTCCTCGATATGATCTTGGACATATACCCACTGCACCGTGCCATGCCACACACATCATACCATACATGCCACACCACACCACACCACCGATACACTCAGTTTGTTTAGAGGTTAATATGCTGGCCTAGAATCCAGGAGATGGTGAGTTCTAGGCCTCCTTAGACATGAAATCTGGCTTGGTGACTTTGGGCCAATGTGTCAGCCCAACCCACCTCATAGGGTTGTTGTGGGAAAAATAAGAGGCAGGTTTGCCACCTTGACCAAAATACTTATAAAATGAGTGTAAAATCTAATAATAATTAAAATATTGTGGGATTTCTGAATACAAACTAATAAAGTCTTTGCTCATAATGCGCCAGATGAAACTATGTTTGGAAAGAAGAAAGCGTAGAAGATTGATGTGGTAATAACAGGAGATAATACAACAGAAGACCAAAAACTGGAGAAGATCACTTGCTATCAAGATCTGAAAATTGAAATTGAAACATTGTGGCATAAACTGGCAGTAGTTGTCCCAGTAATTATTGGCACACTGGGTACCATACTTAAAAATCTTGGACAGCAGTTAGAAAATCTGTGCATTGACAAAATTTCCATCTGTCAATGTCAAAAGGCCACATTGTTTGGATCCGCACATAAAGCATGCCAATATATTACAACATGCTACTGGCCTTGAGAAGAACTTGATGCATATGGAGGCTAACACAAGCTAAAGAATTGATAGCTGTGATTTCACATGTTTTGTGTATATAATAACACCAATTTTGATTGGGAGCAGTGCAGAGTTGGTTGTAAGATAGATACTGTAGCTATATGAATGATTTAAATAAATAAAATCTCAATAAATAAATAAATACACACACCCCTTTCATGAAGCATTTCCTTTACTGTGGGTAGTGGATTTACTGTCCTGGATAACTTGGAACTTGCAGGCAATTGCAGGCAGAAGTCCTGAAGAAATATGAGCCTCAAGAAGTATGAGTGTTACTGCCAAAGGGTTTTGGTGAGAGAACTGATTCAAGTGAAATTAACACTTCCAGAATTCTACAATGATGGTTTTATTTTGCGGACAGGAAATCATTGGAGTAAATCAAGTAAATCTCTCTCTTTCTGTAATTGTCACTGGCGGATAAACTACCTGCCTGTAAAAGCAGGGATCAATTTAATTGTGATTCACTGCATTGAGAGGCAAATCTTTCTATATCACGTTGCAAAAGAAGAGTCATGGTTACATTTCTATTCCAGGAACACAATCTTAACATTCTCCCCTTTTATTTTTCTTCCACTACTTTTATTATAGTGTTTATATGGTAAAAAACAAACACTACCAAGAAGGAAGAAAGAAAAACATTAATAGCTAGACATACTGTAAAACAGTCAAATACACTGTAGAAATTTAAATAATGAAATGTAATAAAAAGGAAAAAAACTATAATAAAAAGATCCATATTACAAGCATTTGTATCAAATTAGAATTCAGTCCTTGAAACTACAATGAAATCTGTATCATATAGAAACATCCTCTTCATCTTCTCATTTTTAAAAGAAAAGACAGAACCTTATTTTGAATCAATTCTTTGATATCAAGAGGGTAAGTTTCTTCACATTTCTGTAAGATTATTCTTTTTTCTGAAAACCAGGCTCAGTCATGACAAAGATCTTCATAAAATGACCAGTAACCACATTAAGAATATAATTTAACACCTTATTTATATCTTCAAATATTATATTTCTTTCCAAAATCATATGCTCTGATTTGAAACGGAAAGAGAGCTATGATTGGACAAGATGAAATTATCTAAGTGAAAGAACCCTCAAATCTACAATGCCAGCACACACATACATATACAAATCTGAAATCCAGACTTTAAAAAAAAATTAAGAGTGGTTCACTAGATCCAATATACTTTATCATGAATTAACCTCACTCACAAAGAATAATAGGTCAATTTTACGTTTTAAAAAATCTTGACCAATTGATCTTCCAAGATGAAAATTTCCAAATATTTGTTCTCCAGGTTTCTGAATTTCTCAAGTTCTCATTCCATGAGAATGTAGATTTTAAAATAAAAGCCCAACAGTAAAGTTGAAAATCTAGTAGGCTAAAGCCAGCATCTTAAGGCAATTATGTTCAAATTGGCAAAAATATTTGAAAGATTTTATACTGCCATAATTGGTTCTCATTAGTTAATCTGTGTAAAATATCTACTAGGAATTAATATTTGAATTTCTCTTAAAATATTCATTAGACATAAAGCAATATTCATTTTAATTACATTGATCTTATTCCAGAGACTCAATGGAAGTGTTAACAATTGGATTACATCTACTGAAATGTATATCCAATCTAAACATTTAGATATATTTAATTTATATTGCCCTTACCTTGGCTTCCTCTAAAAACCTGGTTTCCAACTGCTACTCAATAGTAGTAACTGTGAGAGGGATCTTGGAGTCTTAGTGGACATCACTTAAATATAAGCCAGCAGTGCTGCAGCTGTCCAAAAAGCCAACAAAGTGCTAGGCTGCATTAACAGAGGGATAGAATCAAGATCACATGAAGTGTTAATACCTCTTTACAATGCCTTGGTAAGGCCACACTTGGAATACTGCATCCAATTTTGGACACCACGATGTAAAAAAGATGTTGAGACTCTAGAAAGAGTGCAGAGAAGAGCAACAAAGATGATCAGAGGACTGGAGGTTAAAACATATAAAGAATGGTTTCTGTCTAGTTTAATGAAGAGAAGGATAAGGGGGGACATGGTAGCAGTGTTCCAATATCTCAGGGGTTGCCACAAAGAAGAGGAGTCAAGCTATTCTCCAAAGCACCTGAAGGCAAGACAAGAAGCAATCGATGGAACCTAACCAAAGAGAGAAGCAACCTAGAACTAAGGAGAACTTTCCTGACAGTTAGAACAATTAATCAGTGGAACAACCTGCCCCCAGAAGTTGTGAATGCTCCAACATTGCAAGTTTTAAAGAAGTGATTGGACAGCCAGCAGGGGGTTGGACTAGAGCAGGAGTGTCAAACTTGCAACGTCATGTGTCATGTCGCGACGTATCACAAATGTTTTTCCATTGCCGGCAATGGGGTGGGCGCTGTTTTGCCATGATGCATCCAGCCCGTGGGCCAGCAATTTGACACTCCTGGACTAGAAGATCTCCAAGGTCCCTTCCAGCTCTGTAATTCTAATTCCAATTCTAATTCTCCAGGCCTCAGGTTAGGATGTTTCAGACAGGCCTCTGGTAGGTGGAGGGGTAATATGGAATTACATTATGTTATGTTGCCTTAAACAACTGCTGTGCTCTTATATAATATGATGTGTGGTTTTTTAATATATAAAACCATTGTCTTTTTAATCTTGTGAAGTCTAAGTTTTCTCGGCGTTAGGCAGCCCAGAAATTTGACAGATATTGCCCAACATATTGGGCAATATCTGGTGAGCTGGTGAGCCTATAAGTTCCCATATTTCTTTCCTGATTTCCAGTAGTTCTGATTAAGTGATTGCTGCATTTCAAAGAGTACTCCAGTTGTTCTGAATATAGCACCTCTAATTTAAATATAGCTGTTAAAAATTGCATTTCGCTCTTAATCTGTAACCATCCGGTATCTCAAATTTAAATTTTAAAATCAGTTGGCAATGAAAAGATTCCATTCATATATTCTTCCATAAATATTAACAGAGGCTTCTGCTGCTGTAAACCCATTCATTAAATCTTTCTGTGAGTTAAGGTGACCAACCGTCCTCCTTTTGGGAGGACAGTCCTCCTTTTGTGAGTTCTGTCCTCCCTCGAAAATGTCCTCCTAAATGTCCTCTTTTTCTATATTTGAAGACTTATCTGCAGGGCTTTCTTTTCCTCATAGAATGCTCAGAAGGCGTTCCGGAACCATTTTTTGATATTTTTTTTTCAACTTTTGCCTGAGCTGTGCTACTCCCCCATTGGCTTTCAAAAGCCAATAGGAATTGCTGCTGAGTGCGCCAAAACACCCAGGCGGCAAACTTTGCACGTGCAAGTTGCAGGAACTTTGCACCCCTCACTGCTACCCAACTACACATCTCCTACTTAGTTCTGCATATAGCTGGAGGAGAATGGAGAATGGTAAGTTTCTCTTGATCTTCCCTGTTCGGTTCTACACAGGGATGCATAGGGTAGGCAGTGGTGCTGGGGGGCGGCTGGGGAGTGGCTGCAGGGCCGGAGCCAGGACGGCTGGTGCTTTGCGAGCTGCGGGGCCGGCTCTACGGGGATGCACAGGGTGGGCAGTGATACTGGGGGGCGGCTGGGAGGGCAGCTGCAGGGCCAGAGCCGGGGCAGCTGGTGCTTTGACTTTGCGAGCCACGGGGCCGGTTCTACGGGGATGTGCAGGGTGGGCGGTGGTGCTGGGGGACAGCTGGAGTGGGCGGCTGCAGGGCCAGAGCCGGTGCGGCTGGTGCTTTGCCTTCGCAAGCCATGGGGCCGGCTCTACGGGGATGCATAGGGCGGGCGGTGGTGCTGGGGGGCAGCTGGGGGAGCAGCTGCAGGGCCGGAGCCAGCACGGCTGGTGCTTTGCCTTTGCAAGCCACGGGGCCAGCTCTACGGGGATGTGCAGGGTGAGCGGTGGTGCTGGGGGACAGCTTGGGGGGTGGCTGCAGGGCCGAAGCCGGCACGGCTGGTGCTTTGGCTTTGCAAGCTGCGTGGCTGGCTCTACGGAGATGTGCAGGGTGGGCGGTGGTGCTGGGGGGCAGCTGGGGGGGGGTGGCTGCAGGGCCAGAACTGGCGCAGCTGGTGCTTTGCCTTTGCGAGCCGTGGGGCCGGCTCTACGGGGATGTGCAGGGTGGGCGGTGGTGCTGGCGGGGCAGCTGCAGGGCCAGAGCTGGCTCGGCTGGTGCTTTGCGAGCCGTAGGGCCGGCTCTCCATGGCAGGGCAGCGGTTCTGGCGGGGCGGCTATGGGCGGGGGCGTGGTGGGCAGTTGACCTTCCATGGGCTGCGCCAGCTGCTGGTCTACGCAGTGCTGACCTGCGCTGCCACCACCTCACCCTGCGCACCTACATGGCTGTCCTGGAGCACCTGGCTCACAACACCTGCCTCCGCTGCCCACCCCCGCACAATCCAGCCGTGTAGATTTTTGGACAAGTGAGAAATCGAGATTGAATGTTGATACTCTAGCTGCAGCACTTGCCATAAAATTCAATATGAAGGATATTTCTTGTTCAGATATTTCCAATATATTGTTAGAAGATGATACATTGACAAAAAATATTCATTCAATGGAAAAGTACTCATTTAAATAATTAATAGGCATGTAAGCATAATTACAATATAAAATGTTATTGTTACAAATGGTTTTTATTATGCATTTATCGTATTATAGTGTATTCTGTATTATTGTTGCAATAAATACAATGTTTCTTTTATTCACGATATTTTTTTCTTCAATTTATTCGTGTCCTCCTTTTTGTTGTAAAAAAGTTGGTCACCTTATGTGAGTTGCCTATGAACTCTAAATATAATTTAGAATTTGCATTCAATCCATCATGAAACTGTTCTTTTACTTCTAAAGATTTAATTCTGGCTTCATGAGAAATAATAATTCTTTTCACTACTTCCAAATCTTTGTTAAATGCTAATAGGTTTGGCTTCCATAGTCCTCAGTTTCCTCATGCACCTCAGATTTGCCAGTTTCTAGACTTGCAAGTCTGCAATCCATCTGTTTAGACACTGATTGAAGTTTTACCATTTATTCAAAGCTAATTATTTATTCCTGTCAAGATAGAGATGTATCTGGGCTTAACATTGCTCTGTCTCCGGTACCATCTCCTCTTACATGGCATTTCAGTGGAATATATAATATAATGGAATACATAATACATACTAATAATAGTATGTATTATTTAAATAGCTGTACATAAGTAGTTAAACCAATCTTTAAATAGCTGTACGTAAGTAGTTAAACCAAAATGTGGAGTTTGGTGTATATTATTCACCGTTCAGCAATCTATATGAGCAATTTCATCCATAAGATCAGAGTGGAGCAAAGGAAAACAAATAACTAGGCAGCCATCAAAACCAGAGTTCCTTTGGAAATGTCCCTTTCTCTGCTAAGAGCTGTATCTAAAAAAATTGTGGTTCTGATTAGAGAAATTGCACATATCTTTTAACAATGTGCCATTTTGGCTAACTAAGGTCACACATTGCGCTGGCTGCCACTTTACAGAGGCAAACTTCCTTAGTGTGTTTTATTGTTACTATAACCTTTTGTATTTGTGTGGGGGGATGGTGTGCCCCTGAGTCAGTGTTGAACCTGGTGAATGCCTGGGCCAGTCCCTGCAACTCTCTTGATAAGATTTTCAGAAATGCCGCTTCCTAAGGCTGAGAGACAGTAACAGGGTTGGAGGTCACCGACATGGCTTTGTGTCTAAGATAGCACTAGAGATCATGGTTTCCCAATTCATAACCACATGCAAATATTTTTCCCTTTGTTTTGCAAGCAAGACCTTGACTGCTATTTCCACATTCAACTCTTTTCTTCCCCAAGCCTAGCCAATCTAAATCACTGTAATTTTAAGAACTTGGGGACGTCTCCAAATTATCAGCTATGTGAGATGGCAAAAGCAAGGCAGAGTCAGCCCCTATAATCTTTCTTCCTGCCTGTAAAATACACCAAAGAGAAAAACATTGATTTGTGCAAGATTACAGTCACTGGCAAAAATTACCACCTTAGGGAACAGAATCAATCTAGTTGTCCCATGTGATGAGAAAGATACATCCTAAGAGGTTGATACCATTTAGATGGTTTTGGTAGTAGTCCATTTTATTGATTTTTCATGTATTTTTAGATATTGTAAGCTTTGGAGAGTCTTATGGAGTGTGACAGTATATAAGATTAGTCAATAAATCAGTTCTGGAAGCCAAAGCAGAAGGAAAAAAGAAAATGGCGTTACACTGAAATCTATTATATTGTATTCAGATTAATTTCACATAGCAGCTTATGATAAATGTTTTAGGGTGCAAGCTGCGTAGGGCTGCATCATTCAGAATACATCATTACTTATCCTCCTACCACTAACAATCTATTAGCTACAAGGGAATACTCATATTTATGTCTGACATGCTGTACCCTGGCTGACGACAATAGGGATAACAGCAATACATCCAAGGTGACACTCTCTTAATGTCTCCTAAAAGACCTTCTCCAAAATGATACCCTTTTATCAACAAGCTGACAGGGCCCTAGAAATAATATAACCACCGTGGTTTTAAACTCATCTTAAAAAGCATGAAAATGTTTCACTGGTGGGACTGCTTCCCATAACATATTTGGAAAACATGTCAGGAGGATTCAAGATTGCTGCTAATGGTAAGAATAGCCCCTTAAGTTGAATAATTCATGAGGAGTAAGGAAACGCCAGCCAGTTGAAGAACAAAAACAGCACACAATGCAACATAATGATGAAGTGGCAGCAACACAGATGGAGCTTTCAAATACACTGATTATGATGACATCATACACCAGCCATAATGCCAGATGAATACACACAGAGAGAGAC